TAAATGTTTCCTTTAAAACATAACAACTGTTCATCAATTTTTCTGAAGATTTGCATGATTTCATCAAGTGATTTTTATGTGATATAAATACCTAGCTTTTCAAAATTCAAAAAACCAATTTTTACATCAATTGTTTACAATCTCTTTCAATCAAGATTCTTGAACTTTTTCTTTAAAACAATTTTCACAAAGAATTTTCTGCATCAAATTTCATATCTTTTGAAAAGAAAATTCTTGAGCAATAAGTCTTAGATACTTGTGGAAGTTCCATTGAAAGAGAAGATTCAATCTTAGTATTGATTACTAATTATACATTGTTACAAATCTTACAAACTCAGAATTGTATTTTATTTTCCCCTTGCTGTTCAAGATTGTTGAAAACAAGTGTGTGCATTAGAGAGGATTATTCTCATTGCACTTAGTGTTTAGATCTTAAAGGTGTTTTAAGAACCTTTGATCTCCTATAGGTTATAGCAAATTGTACAATCGATCCTAACTTTTGTGAAATCTCTTTCGTGTTGAAAGGGGAGTGGACTACCCTCGAGGTGTGAGGGGAACCACTATAACTCTCTGTGTCTCTTTTACTTTCTGCCTTTACAAGCTTTCATATCTTCACTTCATTAAAAAGAAAGTAACACAGTCCTCTTAAAACCAGAAAATTTCAAAGAACCTAATTCACCCCCCCTCTTAGGCGTATTACTACTCACAGAGTTGCAGTAGGAACTGTTATAGTTGAATGAACTTCTGTCGGAGATGACACTTATGTATAGGGAGAAAGATGTTGCTATATGACCGTATGATCCTTCAAATCAATACACTGTTAAATCTTATTACAACAAGTTGATGTCTTTCCAAGTACATGGTTCATTAGAGTTGGAGGTTAAGGCTGCATTGAAGCTAGTGTGGAAAGGTTTTGCACCTTTGAAGACAAAAGTTTTTGCATGGCGTTTAATACTGGATAGGCTGCCGACACGAAGTAATTTGACTAGGCGCGTAATAATTATGAATCCACATGAATGGGTATATATGTTTTTCTTTAACATCGATGAAGATGTTGAACACTTGTTTTATAATTGTTGCAAAACAAAGCTTATTTGGAAAAGCATGTGTGAATGGTTTGAGGTGAATTAAAATCTTGATGGAATGTGATGTTATCATCTTCGTGCGTGGTGCTGTAAATTGAAAGGAAAAGTTGATTTGTTGAATGAGGTTGGATTATGGACTATTGTTTGTTGGTGTATTTGGATGGCACGAAATCAAATACTTTATAATGATGAAATAGCCGATACGAACCTTGTTATGCAACAAATTATTCTAATTTCATGGTGGTGGTTACACAAGAATCTTAATCATTTGTATAGTTGTAATTACTATGAATGGTGCAAATCCCCTTGGACATTCTTATAGCATAGATTTTGGTGGGTTTAGTCTATTTTTTTGGCTAACTTATTCTGATGATTGTAAATGGGTTGGGATACCCCTAGTATCCCGTTGGGAATGAATTGTTTGCTTATAAAAAAATATAAAATGCGAAGGAACCAAAATTTATATGTAGTATATAAGTATAAATAAGTTATAATAACTTAATTCAAAGAAGTCCACTATTCAATACAGTAATAACCTAATAAACAGATCATATGATGTCCATGCAAAAATGAAACACATTATTACTAATTCTTAGTACATCTCTCAAAGCGAAATGATTAGTAACTGCTTGATGATGTTCTGGAATATAAAAACTGCTTGGTTGTGCTTTAAAGAGTTATAATTCTAAATACATCTCTCAAAGGGAAATGGTTATAGTAGTCATTGCATGTAACCTTTAACTATAGGACAAGAAAAACATGGAGTGGCGGGACAAGTAATAATAAAAAACAACCGAGTTGCTTCTTTGAACTTATCTTACCTCATAATTCACACCGTTCAGTGACAATGACAATGTGGTGCAGTTTTGTTCGGTATTAAAGTTTTGAAAAATCTTTTGTATGTCAAATTGGTATACATGATAATAAGGGTAATTTATTGTGCTGTGTTGACTAGCATAACTCCATGGTTATGATACTGATTAGTATTCTTGGAACAACATCAAAAGTGAAGGTATTCAATGAAAGTGAATAAGCATACTGTTATGTGGAAAATAGGCAAAAATTTGAGAAGATGTATTTGTATCATTCTGTAGGTGCATTTTATGATGATGCAATGTTATTTTTTTTCTTTCTTCACCTTATTTTTGGTGCTATGTATGATGACACAAGCTGGCTCCCTTTGCAGTCACAACATTATTCTAATTTATGTGTATATCCGTTTAGTGCAACTCCCATACCGTCAAAATTAAAGATTCTCTATCAATTCAATATAAGCCTAGACATCACGATGATCAATATTTATAGCTTTTGTAATAAGTTTCCCACCCTTATAATGAGTTCGTTCAAACACTCTAAAATTTAAATAAGATGATACAACACTTCTTTGAGTCATATCATCAAACACGACATGCTTGCTCAACACCATTTTTGCTCACATAAACATAGATCAAATTAGTGCTCACGAACACGTATGAAGAGAATCAAAAGCTGCAGTGAAGAGAATGATGTAAGATTAATGTGTATTTGAATCTTTCTTTAGTTAGAATTGGGGTTGAACTTAAACCATTTTTTAAAATCATTTATTAGTTATTTAAGGGGGTTTCAAACCCTCATAATCGGTCTTGTTTCTTTGTAGTGTTGACTTTAACTGACATGCCATGACACGTGTGTTAGACGATGACGCAGATCTAGAAGAGGGGGTTTGAATAGATCACTTGTTTAAAACAGAGTCGGCGCTACCAAAATTTGGTTTTTGAAAATTGTTTAAGGTGGAAGCGGCCGAGGAACTATATTCGTCTAAAACGAATCTTCACTGAAAAAATCGGATATGTGTAAAGCCTATGGAATTCGATAAAACGAGATTTGAGAATCACTAATTTGATCACACTTCAAACAAATTTTATTCACTATAAGGTGTGACTAGTTCCAATGCTTTTAAAATATAAACAATTTGAAAAGACAACACACCTGTTTTTAGTTCACACAATTGGTCAAACACTTGGAGTGCAAGACACTACAAGTGAATTCTATTATGAGAGTAGAATGCTCAAGTGTTCTATTACAATCAAAGATTGTAACAAGCTTAAGAAATAATTCAGTACTACTCGAATCATAATTTGATTAACACAATTGTTTGCACTTAAAACTCATAATTTAAGCAATATAAGCGTAAAGAAAGAGAAAAAGATTTGTTGAGGCAGTTCCCCCTTCGTCCTTGCTCGGGGTATGTCTGCCCTAAATTTTAACAATAGAATTGAGACCTGTATATAGATAGATATAACCTATTGGTTAATGTTTACACAAGAAGCAAATATAGATCAAACGATCGAACACAATTTGTTGATGTGGAACCTATTTCTTCTTGCCCCTTGATTCAAGTTGAATCAAGTCCTTCGAACGTGGTGAGTAAACCTCCGACTACGGCACGCCCTTTGAACAACCCCACGATCTTCAAATCTCGCCCGACTGATTTCAGTCACCCACGTGTCGAACCCGAATCTTCCACTCACAATCCTGCAGTTACCGCTACTAAATCGACAGAACTACCCGTTATTCGATTACCTTCGCTCGGCTGAATCTGTGATGGACCGATTCCTGCAAAACCCCCCAAAATCCAAGATTCTTGGAGGACAAAACTCTAACGGTTTTATTCAAGAAAAACCTACTGATTACTCAACCCAAAACAGATTACACCAATCCTACTTTTGGATGTTATCACCTCGAACATGCAGAATGCACAACCAAAAATGATTATGTGTAGTTGTTGTGAAAATGCTATGAAGATGATGAGAACAAATCAGTATGTTATTTTCACTTTTCTTGTTTTTCTCAGTTATTGAAATGAAGAGCAAAACTCCCTTTATATACAAGACATAACTGATTAACAAATATAACAAACACCAAGACTATTTCACATAACAGATTTTTGACTAAATTTCAGTGAGCGATCGACCTATGCAGAAAGGAGGGTCGACCCGAGCTTACCCGTGTTCCTGATTATGCAAAAAACAGAACCTTGCGTCGACCAAAGCAGGTCATGCATCAACGCAAAGCATGCAAATTTAGGCAAATAAAAATGGACTCAGTATGAGTCGACCAGAGGGTCGACGCGAGCCCTCCTGAGAGTAATCCATTAAAAAGACTATTTGTATGAGTCGACCGTAGCTAGCTTTGAGTCGACTCAAAACCCTGAAATATGCAAAAATGCCTATTTTCATGTATCAAGACACTTTTGATGAACTCTATTACATGGTAAGTTTGACGAACTTGACCAACCCTACATGAAACACAAATTTAGCCATTTCTATATGCATCAATAATGTTTTTGACAAGTGTTTGACTCACGAGGGACAAAACATGCAAATGTGACACGATGATACCGTCCAAAGTACATTTTTCTATCAATCTAAGTTTTGACATCATTGAAACAAGTGTAACTACCTATGAGGATTGCCCTCACAACGTGGGATGCCACATAAGCCTCATTAGTGGAAATTAACGACAGACTAAATTTATGGACGAAAAAGTTTATAAGGACTCTTGTTCAAAGAAATTTTTTAGAAAAACTAAAATCAAAATTTAAAATATTTATAATGACTCGAAACTTATTTAACCCTTGAATGTACAGTATTAGGTGATTTTTATCTTGAACAAATTGAATGCGTTGGATTAATAAGATGAAGTGGTGTTCCAAAAACGGGAGTTGTAAAAAGTTATTCTATGTAGTAACAGGAGTCTTGTTTTAAAATTGAAATAATCCACCAACCCATATTTATAGGCCCAAAACATGGCCTATCAAAAACACAACAAAGCCCTAAAATCCGTTTACACAAAACCCTTGAAATCTCTGTTACTCTTTCTCTTGCGTTGTTTCATTCCTTTTGCATTTGATTCGAAGACGCCGTCGGCATAAACATGAAGGTGATAGCTGCATACTTGCTCGCCGTTCTTGGAGGCAACAACACCCCCTCCGCCGAAACCATCAAGGACATCCTTGGATCCGGTACGTGCCGCCGTCAGTTGATTTTGTTTTTTCTAGAAAATTTTGTTTATTGTCAGTCTCTAATTAGGGTTAGGTATATTCATAATAATCACGTTTGTCTCAATTAATTTTATGACTTTTGTAATTCTCTATATGTGTTTGTTTAGGGTTTTTTTATACAGCAAAACACATTCTACATTTAGGGTATGAACTTTGATGGAGTTTCAACTCTTTGATTTGATACATAGCTGACAGAAATTGTGACTTTTTTATCTGCAGTTGGAGCAGAAGCGGAAGATGGAAACATTGAATTGTTTTTGTCTGAAATTAAGGGCAAAGATATAGCCGAGGTGATTGCTTCTGGCAAGGAAAAGTTGGCATCAGTGCCTTCTGGTGGTGGTGGCGTTGCCGCTGCTGGTGCCGCACCTGCTAGCGGTGCTGCTGCCCCCGCAGCTGCCGAGGCAAAGAAAGAGGAGAAGGTGGAGGAGAAAGAGGAATCTGATGATGTAAGTTTTTATTTTGGGTCCATATTGCTTCTTTTATCATTGACATTATGTACAGCTTCAAGTTGTTTTAAACCTGTAGTTGGTTGTTGCGGCTATTTTAATTTGAATTACATGTTTTTCTTTGGAAAATGGTTCTTGCTTTCGGATTAGTTAGGCTTTGATTAATCCTCTGCAGTTTAGCAAAACCATGCTGCATTGCATATTTTGGTAGCAGCAATTGCCACTTAATAGTAGTTGCTACTGTGATGTTCAAATGAACTTTTTCTTTATGAGAGATGAAATTGAACTTTGGTTATTTTTTCAAATTTTGAGCTCATTATGTCATAATGTGTATCGAAACATCTTTTTCTTGTATTGTTTTGCTATACTTTGATGTAGTGGCCATACTATGTTAATTCCCACTATAACACTAGTGTTTTTGGGGCCAGCTAACACATTCCACTATCTGCCATTGGTTACATTGAATCAATCATAATATCGATATTGCGTTTTTATAATTTTTGATTAGTTATTTATATTTCTTTCTTACCTTGATGAAGTTTGTGTTCGAATTACAATTATGTGCTGATTTTGGGAATCTGATATTTTTCTAATTCTGAATCTTTCAACTTTTTTCTCGTGGTGCAGGATATGGGATTCAGCCTTTTTGATTAAGCCTGCAGTTGCTGCTGAGTTTATTTGAATTTTGTTCTAAAGTGTAGTGTGGTTTGATTTTATTTCAATCAACGACTAAAGTGGACGAGTTTAGTTTTAAACATTGTAGTTTCTTAATGTTATGATGGAAGTTATATTTCTGTCATCAGTGTAGCTTATTTCGTGTTTTACTTTTTCGTCATACAGTTATTTCTTTGAAGTTGAATACTTTTATCTTATTTAAAATTTTCGTTTAAAATCATTTTTCAAGTAATATGATATATACCAGATGTGCTTTGTCAACATGAGCATTTTTTGTACTGGTGTTGATACTGCATTAGCATTATGCCTTCTCAACCTCAGCCATATTCATCTGTTATGGCATGTTTAAAGTTCTGAGTTTTCCATTCCAACCTATATTGTGTATTTGAACATGTTTTGTTCGATAAAGGAGAAAAGATGTTTGGGCACTAAAATATTGCTCTTAAAATGTTGTGTTCTTTTTACCTGTAACTTTTTGATTTTTTTTATATAAACGAAGACAATTAATAAGTTTTATTTTTGTAAATGCAACAAGTATATAGGAACTGTGGACTGAGTAAAGAGATAAATTTATCAGGTATTTATTTGTTAATAAAGAGTAGAGAGAGACAAAAATGTTGACGTTGTTCTTTACTATGTTTTCCCTTGATGATATTTAGGATATCTACTAATGTCTTTCATGTTTCTAGGCAGTCAGTATGTTCTTGAAGCCATAGAAGTCGATAGGTTAGGAGGGCTAGAAAGGAGAGATAGATTGGGAGGAGATATGGGAGGGATGTACAATGTTAGTTACTTCTTTTAATGTTTGTGGGTTGGAGAGTAGAAAGTGAAAGTCCTTTGTGTGAGTGGGGCTTTTACCCGTTTTTCTTTTTTGGAAAATTGGAGGTTTGTGCCTTATTTAAGAGAAGGTCTACATGAGAGGAATTGTTGGCCAAAATGTTACTTAATATTTATTTCAAGTGTGTCTTGTTTGAGAGAAGGCCTACGTGGGAGGATTTGCTGTCTAAAAAATCTTTCGTCGGTGGTTCACTATACTGTGTCATGGAGAATTTTAATTTTGTTTGTTCTTTGAGTGAAAGGGTTAGGGGTGTGGACCCTTCTAATTATGTTTAAATGTAGATTGCTTACCCTTCAATAATTTTATTGATTAGATGGATTTATCTTATCTTCATTTCTTAAGGAGGACATTCACTTGGTTCCCACACAATGTGGGTGCAACTAATAGATTGGATAGGATCCTTATATCTAACTGTTGGTGGGATTTGTGGGGATTGACTTCTCAATAGGCTCTATTTAAAGACGCTTTTGATCGCTGCATGATTATCCTTAGGTACTCCAATTAGCTTTCCCAAACCGTCCAAGTTTAATAATCATAGGCTTGCTCATGGTGAGTTTCAAGAGTTTGTTCATTCTAGTTGGAATGGTTCAAGTTTTCATGGTTGGAAAGACTTTGTCTTGTCCTGAAAGAGAAATTCAAAGCTTTTAAAGGAGTGGTGGTGAAAGTTTGGAATAAGAATGTGTTTGGAAATCTAGAGTCCAAAAATTGATTCCTTTAAGATAGGTGGTGAGTTCTCTAAATTCTAGAATGGATATGGGTGTTCTTTCGGGGGAGGAGGATGTAAATGTCAATGCGATGACTATTGCGGATATTTTGTCTTTATTTAATATTAAAGATCCTCAATACATTAAGAGGTCCAAAGCTATGTGGATTAAGGAGGGTGATTCTAATACATGCTTATGTGAAGAGTAGGAGTTGGAGGAGTTTGGTTCTAGCCCTCAAGGTGAGGGAAATTTGGGTTGAGAGAGTGACGGAGATCCAACCGAAGTTGGTTAAATTCTTGTCTAATTAGTTTTAAGAACCTCTTGAAGATCGTTCACATTTGGACGAAGTTACATTTCGTACCCTATTCATGGAGGAAAACTTTTCTCTTATTGACTATTTTCAGCTTTCTGAGCTAAATTACGTGATTGTTCTCTATGATGACAATAAAAGACCTAGATCAGATAATTTCAATTTCAGAAATTATCTTTTTCCTGAAAAAGGTATTGGCTACTTCTTAGGGAGGATTCTAGGGAGATTCTTATTTAATTTTACTAGTTTGCTTCTCTTCCCTAGTGCTTTACGTCTTACTTTGTGACTTTGATCCCAAAAGTATAGTCTCTTTCACATTTGGGTGACTTTCAACTTATCTTCCTCATGAGATCTTTTTAAAATCTTGTTGCTAAGGTGTTGGTTTATTATAGACTTGCTAACACCATGCATAACTTTTTCACCCAAATCAGTCATCTTTCTTAAAGGTAGATTATTAGTGAACGAGGTTGTGGTAGTTAATAAGATGGTGGGTCTGACTAAGAAAACCAAAACAACTTGTCTCGTTTTTATGGTGGACTTTGAAATTTTTTATAATTTGATAGTTGGAGTTTTTGAATTATACGCTTATCTAATTTGACTTTAATTCAAAGTGGAGATCCTAGATGCATGATTGTGTGTTTATTGGAAATTTTGCCATGTTACTCAATGGTTATCAACCCAAAAAATTAACATCCAAAGGGGGTTGAAGGTGACCCCATTGCCCCTTTTCTCTTCATGAGGGTAGCGGAAGACCATAATGAATTATTTTATAGGGAAATGGTTCTCGATCTTTTTTATGGGTTCAGAGTGTGGCCATATAATCTTGTTATTTCCCATCTCCAGTATGCAGATGAAACAATTATCTTAGTTAACGATGCGATTGAGAGTCTTTGGTCTACTAAGGCGATTCTTTAGAGCTTCTAGTTGGCTTTGGGTTTTCGAATGAATTTTTCAAAGATTGTTGTCATAAGGATTAATATGGATTTACCTTTTTGGACTCAGCTGAAGACTTTTTCCATTGTAAGATTCAATCCCTTACTTTCAAGTATCTAGATATACACGTGGAGGATAATCTTCTCTTTGAGTCTATGTGGCAATCTCTAATGTCCCTACATTCTACATGCTTGGAACCATGGAGGCATTCATATGTGAGCTTATGGGTTAAGTTGTATTATTGAACTCAGTATTTTTCTTCTTTTCTTAAGTTTCTTGTTAAGGTCTAAAAAATTATAGTTACGATTCAAAGAAGGTTCCTCTAGAAAGAGGTCAAAGAACGTTTGAATATTGCTTGGGTTAAGTGGTACGAGTTGTGTAAGTCTAAGCAGTAGTGTTGCTTAGGGGATCTGATATCTCCATTTTGTTAATCTGGCCCTTTTGGATATGTAGAGATAACGACTTATTTTGGATGTTTTAGGTCTCTAGTGTGACATTATTTTAGCAAAGTATGTCATCCAAATATTTTCCTCACAGGTTAGAGGTAGGACTGCTAGCCTTCTCTATACTTGCTCCCGATGGAAAGAAGTCTCTCTCTCTCTCTCTCTCTCTCTCTCTCTCTCTCTCTCTCTCTCTCTCTCTCTCTCTCTCTCTCTCTCTCTCTCTCTCTCTCTCTCTCTCTCTCTCTCTCTCTCTCTCTCTCTCTCTCTCTCTCTCTCTCTCTCTCTCTCTCTCTCTCTCTCTCTCTCTCTCTCTCTCTCTCTCTCTCTCTCTCTCTCTCTCTCTCTCTCTCTCTCTCTCTCTCTCTCTCTCTCTCTCTCTCTCTCTCAAGCTCCATAGTGACATATTCATTTAATTAGTTTGTGGATAGTTTGAGTAGGTGAATGAGTTTATGGATTTTTACCTCCTTCTGTACGAATATCTAGATTGTTAATACTCCCTTTGTGTTAAGTTCCCTAGGCTTTTTAGTATCCATGATCAACAAGACTGGTTTGTTAGGTCAATGGGAATCTTTGTTAATGGTAATCTCACTTAGGATTTGAAGTGTAAGATATCCTTTTCTACTATCGACGAGAGATGGTTTCTAACTTTTTTATAACCGTTAGGGATGTTACGCTCTCCTAAAATCTCGAGAGGCAGTCTTTGTGCCTTTATAAGGATGAAGTGTTTTCTATCGCTTTAGCTTATCCAGGGCTTCTTTAGAGTGACATGTCTAGTGCTATTATGGGTAACCTTGAGAACCCGATTCTTCCTTTTATTTGGGATATGTGGGATCCCTCTAAAGTGGTTGTTTTTTATTTACAAATACTTCTTGAGAAGATCCCTACTAGAGAGAGTCTCTTTAAGCCTGTAGTGTTAGTCGATCTTGTTGATGTTCTGTGATCACTGTGTAAAGGCCTTTTACAGTTAGTTCTCCACATGTTTATGACATATGTTTCATAGCGTCTATTTGGTATGAGATTTTTAGATGGTAAGGGTGGTGGTTTATTCTCCCTAGTGATCTCACCAGTCTCTTTTTGGTAGTTACTTTGTTGGGAGGTAGGTATGAGGTTATAAGTGGTTTCTTTATGATCTCAGATGCAGTGGTTTAGTATTTATGGAAATCCCATAATGATATCATTTTATTAAGGTTTCTCTGTCAATGCGAAAGATATGGAAGATAAAAGTATCTTCCTAGATTGGAAATGGTATTTTAGCAAGCATGCATGTGACATTTATGCTTTCTATGCCTGACATCCGAACTATGTTATTTTCCTGAACAAATAGAGGGTGAAATGACTCTGACCATGCTGTGGAGAGTTCTTGGGGATGCCCTTAAAGGATGCTTTTCTGTTGATGGTGACTCTTTCAACCGAAATGTAGCATTTCTTCTCTTGGATGGTATGTTGCTTCAACTTTTATTTTGTTGGTCCAATTATTTAACCTCCAAGATTGGGTTTTGCATGTTGGTTTGGTTTTATCTTTATTCTTTGTATTTTCTCAGGGCTCATGTTCTTGTAGTTCTTGTACCAATGTGAACTTCAGTTATAATTATGGCATTTTGTTGTCTGACTTTCTCATATGACTTTTTGATTTTAGTTTTGTTCTAAGGGGAGATTTAGATGACGGCTTGTGTGTTTTATAGAAATCTCTTTGTGGTTGTTAGTGGTTGTTCCATTTAAGAGATTAACATCAGAAAGGGGTTGATCAAGGT